TTTTAGATAACTCATTATGTTGCTTTAATAATATTTTTGGTTCTAAACATTTAAATAAGATGAATAGAAGAAGAGCAAATATATATAGAGAAGAGAAACACAAACGAAAATGTACAAATTTCTACTTGTTAATTTTAATTATTTTCTTTAGTGGTTATTTTATATATTATTTGAATTTTAAATTGTTCATAATAGAATTAGAATAACAGGGATTTGATTTCCACCGTCCGATCGTTTGTTTCCTTTTTGGTTAATTCTAAACCCTGGGTCGGGTCGTGATAACAACAAGAACCTAGTCAGTAGATATTTTAAATATAACATACTTCTGAACTTTCCATGGTTTGGGTATTGAAGCTATTACAACGTTCTACTATAATTTGACTATTATGGGTTGGTCAATCTATGTGTGAAAATCCAAACCCGGTTTTTTGGCGGTGCATTCACATAATCAAAGTTTCCACGTCAATCTTGATTTGTTTGCTTATAGGTCTAGAATTTAATAGCACATGAAGGATATGGAGAGCTAATTTTGATTCATATGATTAATTAGAAAATTAGTACAAAATATAGTTTACAGTTTTTTTAAGGTTTAAAGTTTACATGAAAAGCTGAACACCATAAGTTGTTAATTTAGGCAAATGGGTTTACCCTATTCATGTAGACAAAAGTGATGCCTACGTACCTTGCCTCTCAGGGAATCAAACCGAGGTCCTGCTACTTTGAAAAGACAAAAAAAATGAAAAATCAAAATATAGAAGATAAAAGACAAACTTCTTGTCCTTAATATAATGTTAGCCAACTTGTAACTAAATTGCCACTTTTTGCACCTTGCATCTTATTATGACACCATAAAGCCTTATAAAAAATCAAGGGGTTACAAGTTTTAAGTTAAAAATTTTGTCTTCGTCTCTAACGGAAGTTGGGAATCTCATCACTCCCTATCATCCGTATTTACCAGCATTTATGTAATAGCCTATATATTACAACCCTTGTGACATTCCTATAGTCATAATTCTTGTAATGTAACAAGTTAATCATAGGCAATTCATAATCATATGCATAATCAACAAGATACGAATACATGCAAGTAAAGATTTCATAAATATGCTCATCGTAGTATTAAATAGAAAAAATCATAACTATCATTAGTTTTAGTTCAAGCAAGCATTCATGTACATTTACAAATATTCAATAACATGAAGAAAATTTAAATGCATTCATACGTCACAAGAAATTATATCAAAATTCTAGAGAGATTATTTTTAATTTAGCACAAAATTATTTCACCTGAATCGACAGAGCAGTCCTATAACGAGTTTCATGACCTCTCATTGAGCTCATTGCCTTGTACAAATAACATGGAATCATTAATTAGAATTTCATGAATATCTGGCTTAAACCTTAATTCAACCCCAATCATAACATGCTTGCCCAAAACTTATCTCAAACGCATGAATTAACACCCCCCCCCTGATTTCTTCCTATTCTCTCCAATCTTTTCTTCCTCCATTCTCTTTACTCTTACCTCTACTTTCTTTGTAGTGGCCAGAAACAAAAGGAATGCTTCAGATCACAACAAAATGCCAAAACAAATTGTAAGGAAGAAGAGGAATATCTAAAATATCATAAAAATGAGTTTTCTTCTTATCGATTGCCGATTTCTTCTTGTTCTCTCCAATCTTTTCTTCCTCCATTCTCTTTACTCATCTCTTATATCTACTTTCTTTATAGTGGTCGGAAACAAAAGGAATGTTTCAGGTCACAGTAAAATGCCAAAACAGATTGTAAGGAAGAAGCGGAATATCTAAAATATAATAAAAATGAGTTTTCTTCTTACCGATTTTTTCCCAAAAACCTAAATCACAAATTGCGGATCTCTGTCGTTCGCCCAAATCACGATCCTCTTATAGTGACGGGATTGCGTACCCTTCAGATCTAAAAAGTGAATTCGGGGGAGGAGAAAAAATGAAAGATTTCTAGCCATTAATTCCTTAGACCGTTGCATGCGTACATAAGTGCGATGAAAATCCATTTCTATAATGCAGGAATTTAGAGAGAATTAATTAGGGTGATAAGGATTTATTTAAGCTTATATTTCAAAAATTTATCTCCCTAAACATTAAAAATTCATGCAAAGTATTATATATTAAATCAATCGATTCAACTTGGAGAATTTTATAAAAGCTTGGTCAAATTTCAGGGAGTGTGAAAATTAGGATAATCAAAATGACTAAAATTTTCACCTGATTTCTCAGAATTTGGTGTTTCATAACAGTTCTGGATATTGTCGGGTTAGACTAGATTCAATCTAGTCTATGCGATCCAAGGTCTCAAAAAATGATCTAAGGTATCTTGGGTTTTAGTGTTGAATTTGGATTTTGTCTTCCCCAAAAGTTATCTTTAGATTTAAATAAACTTGCAGTTTTCTTTAGAACCTTATAACATAAGGTAGAGACCGATTGGGGTTCTTCAAAGTCACAGAGATCCTATGAGATAGACTTAGTGTTAGGTAAGTCAAAGGTTCCAATGGGGTGCATTCTGGGCTTTGAGTTTTTTTTTTATAGTTTTATTTTATTTAGGTTTTTAAGCTTTTGCCAATGTCGAGGTTATTAGGAAACCATTAAAAGAATCTATAGGAAGATCCTAGTCTTAGGAGGAATCTTAAAAACCAAGGTTTGACATAAAGGGAGAGTTTGTCAACCTCATTCAAGTTGAGGTAAATAGCACATTGGCAAGTGTGTTGAATTCTCCATGTACTAACTAACGGTCTTTATGAATATGATGGAAAAAACTAGCGTAGATAGCCATAATCAAAGTATATTTACATTTAAATGTAATTGATACATTTAAAAAATGGTTACTTATAGATATTAAGTCATAATTAAAACTACTATTCCAAAGCGATTAGATCTTATTGGTGAGTCTAGAAAGGGCCCAAAAAAACCAAATTTATATCTTAAGTTGTTGATTTTATTAACAAATATCATTGGTTTAATAATTATAAGGAGCTAAATTTTGTGGATTAATAAGAGCTTTTTGATACGAGACCAAGAGGACACCTTAGACACCTTGCACGTTTAAAATAAGAATCCTAATCTCTCGGAAGACAAAGATCTAGCTTATGGCCTCATGAATCAAGTAGAAGAATCGGACATACCCAACTTCCCATTTCTTTTTTTTTTTCTAATGGATTGATAAAGGGATGAGTCTCAGGTACACTATGCTTGCATCTTCTCACTTGATCATCGAGATGAGTTCGAAGGTGAAATGATCATCTTTCAAGTTGCAGGTTACACCTTTTTAATCACGATCCTTACTAAGAACAATATGAGAAATATGAAGGAATATCTAGCCAAGGGGGCATCTATATTAGTAAAATCCATCTCAATATTAGGATTAATGGAAACCTTATATGAGATAGATGAATCACTATTTAAATGATCTGACTCTGTGTATGGCAAAGTTTGGATAAGTATCAAAGAAGGCATATTAGAATCAACATTAGGTGTTAAACCCATAGCATGGATCTCATTAACAAGGCACGTCTAATAATTAGGCAAAAAAAAATAATGTACTTTATCGATATTCACTTTACAAAAGTTTGGACGAGTATTAGGATGCATTCCCTTGTTTTCTACATTTTTATTAGCATATAAGGGGTTTTTGAATGAAGTTGCTCAAGTTATGGATGAGCCACAAAAACAAGAGTTAGAATTATTCCTATGTTTAAAGGAACACGAACAGTAACTTTGTAAATTCTTTATAATCATTTGCTTAAGAATATCGTATGTATGAAATGAAATTTTTTGAGAAAAACTTGGCAGAATATCCATTTTCCACCGAATCACTAACCATTGAAGGCCCAGTAACTTTAGTAGTAATGGAATGCATGGAAACTTAAGAAGTGATGCAAATGAAAATAAAGTATGATGATCCATAAAATGAACTTAGTTTTGAAAAAAATAATTCACACCGACAAGATATGACATTCTCTCTTAGGGCTGAACCTAGTGGTTCACTGGAACTCACAAGGAAAGTCAAGAATAAATAAAATAATTAGAGGAGATCTTCATATAATTTTCCTCGCTTTCAACCCTAATGAAAATATATTTGCTATTTATAAGGCCAATAAAGTCTGAACCATTCAATTTCAAACTAGGGAAAAACTTTATTTTGTCTATTGTATTTGAACAACACAAATTTATGGATTTACCTACTTAAGGCAAATCAAATTCTTTGCAAGAAATTAAATCTCATATCTTGAGAATGCAGAAGTTAGTAAACCATCTTGCATAAAGCTAATTTCAGAACATCAGGGTTATTGAAAAGAGTTTTAAAGCCATAGCGTTATTACCCAACTTAATCAAGGAAACTAATCCTGAGGTGATGAGCTCAATTAGCCCGCCAATTTCAAAAGTGCGACCAATGAATTCATCCCTATGTTGGATTGAGGAGAGAAGTTGTTGGTAGTCGGGTTATCGAAATCGCGTGGAGAGAAGACAAACTCAGTTTGTGGTGATGTGATTCCCGTTTGGGAGCTAAATTTCTTTTTGCTAGAGTTTGACGAGGAAAGAGTTTGGTGTGCAAGTCGTGAATCTCGGCATTGTTCGTCAAGGAGGCACATCCCTACATTGATTGTGGAAAGGGCAGATCTTGTCACCCTTTGAATGAGGAGGTGAATCATGGTGTCGACGAGGTGTTATGCGATGCCAATTATCAAGTAATGGAAGAGCACAATTCTCATCATCCCAACAAGCACTCCCAAATTATAGTTTTAGCTGGAATAATAGTCAATGATGCAACATATTTTCTCATTTATATGGCGACGGCTTGTGATTTTAGACTGAGTTGTGCTAATTTTTTTAATTGTAATGGAGCTTTAATATCTTATGGAAGTTCGGCTTCAAACTTTTTTGTCTCTGTTTATTTTCTTTAATGCATATGAGATTTTTTAATGGCATTTTTATCAAGATCAAATTTTATGAAATTTCAATATGCAGGTATTGACTAGTGCAAAAGCATTAGTTGTTGTGCAAGTCTTGATGTTCATTTTACCTCCTAATGTGCTTGCGGAGACATGCAAGACTGAAAACTCTTTTTTCAACATGCCTTTTCTGTTCATAATAGCCCTTATTGGGGCTACTGTTGGTGGTGAGTGTTTTTTATCTTGTTTTACTTGAATTATTGGTTGTGTAGAATTAGTTGTTTGGTTTTATAGTATTTGTTCTTAGAATTTCTTTGAATTTATTGATTATTAATTTATAATGATTGATTGGCTTTTATTGATGCCTACAATGTAATTTTACAATAAATATACTTGAAAGGTACAAATAACAGTTAAATCATTTTTCAATACCTTCATTTAAGATGTGTTATTGAATTGATAAAGGGTTGGCATACCACATTGGTCAACACAAATAGAGATTGAGTCAGTTGCTTGTAACCATGATCTAGGGAGCCTTTTATAAGAAAGTAGCCAATTTTTGGAAAGTTGTTAAAAGTTAAAATTTTGTCAAGGTGACTTGGTCATTTGGCTGATATGTTTTTGACTGTTGTTTGAATAACTCTCTTCACACCTCATAACCTAAAGAATACTGTGATTAATAAACCAAATATTCTAATGACTTTTTTATTCTAGTATTTCTCTTCGCTAGATTAGGTATCTTACTATGCATTTTGACTATGATGATCATGACAATGTTGTTAGCTATCTTCATCAATGTGCTGCTTAAAAAAAAAATTGATGCAATGACTATTCTAACGTTTGAGGTGGAGTTTAATGATATTTAATTTTATTTGCTGTGAGGGGATGCATGGGAACTCGATGGAAGTGTTTGTGTTTGAAAGGTTTTTAGAAGGTGGATATCCAAATATAGCTATGATCTAGAAAGGGATGGTGAGGTTTATGTTGATTTTTTGGTCGCTGATTTTATGTGGAGCTTAAGAGGGGGTTTATTTGTTAAGGTATGATCGGTGTTAAGTATTCTTTAGGAAGTTAAGGACGTTATGAATAAGGATTTAGAGTTATTTAGAATATTTATGTGGAGGTTTTGATGTAGAGAGTGAAAGGAATGTTGGCTCGCTGAGTTTGGACAAATTTTGGGTGGCTTAGCTATTTTGTAAATAACTCGTTGCAGGGATGTGAAAGCTTAAAAGAAGCTCCAAAGCATTCAAAGGACATATATAAATGAGAAATTTAGGGAAATGAATCATAGAAAAAAATTAAAATAATAAGCATTAAGCTTCTTATCAAAGAGGGATATCTAAAATCACCACACAAAGGATTAGGGTTTAGCAGCTTAGCTTTTCCTTGGGAGAATGATAAGTCTTCTCTAAATTTTTGTATTACTTATATAAGCATTACACATAAGGAGAAGATAAGACAAATTAATGGCACTCAACTTACAATAAATACTTGTGTGCTATTTTTTTTTTTTTTGGCTTTGTGTCTCCCATCGTCTAATTCTAAGTATTTCTGTTCGCTAGACTAGGTATCTTACTATACATTTTGACTATGATGATCATGACTATGTTGTTAGCCATCTTCATCAATGCGTTGCTTAAAAAAATTCATGCAATGGCTATGCTAACGTTTGAGGTGGAGTTTTATGGAAGTCATTTTATTTGGTGTGAGGGGATGCATGGGAAATCGATGGAAGTGTTTGGGTTTGAAAGGTTTTTAGAAGGTGGATATCCAAATATAGCTATGATCTAGCAAGGCATAGTAAGATTTGTGTTGATTTTTTGGTAGCTAATTTTATGTGGAGCTTAAGAGGGGTTTATTTGTCGAGGTATGATGGGCACGAGTATTTTTTTAGGAAGTTAAGGACATTATAAAAAGGGATTTATTCTGAATATTTATGTGGAGGTTCTGATGTAAAGATTGAAAGGAATGTTGTTTGGTTGAGTTTGAACAAATTTTGGGTGGCTTAGATATTTTGTAAATAACTTGTAGGAATGTGAAAGCTTAAAGAGAAGCTCCGAAGTATTCAAAGGACATTTATAAATGAGAAATTTATGGAAAGAAATCATGGAAAAAAAATAAAAATAATAAGTATTAAACTTCTCATCAAAGAGGGATATCTAAAATCACCAAACGAAGGATTAGGGTTTAGCAGCATGGCTTTTCCTTAGAAGAAGGATAAAACTACTCTATATTTTTGTTTTACTTATATTAGCATGATACATAAGGAGAAGATATGAAAACTTAATAGCAGTCAACTTATAATAAATACACGTGAGCTATTATTTTTGACTTTATAAGTTCCATCATTTAATTCTATTGAATAAAGTTGGTGGAGTTGGAACAATACTTTAAAAATTTTGAAAGAAAGTTTTCCATGCTTCTTTTGGCTTGAACTTTGATGATTTGACAAGGTAAGATGGCAATGGTGATATGACTCTGTGGATATACTTGGATGATGTTGCATTGTGGATGCCACTTTGATCAAAATTCTAGCTGATATTATATTTTTCATATTTGATATTCTTATGTTGCAAATGACATTCTTCTTGGGTTTAAATGTAAAATAACATAAAAATAGCAAAATTTAAAAGAATCAATATGTGATAGTAGCCATGGATTTGTTGATTGATTTGTGATAAAACTGTCCTGCATTAGAAGAATTGTTCTTAGAAGAGTTAAAGCTATGTATCCATCCTGCAAATTTGGGGCAAGCTTTTCTGACTAATTTATGGCAACCAAAGGTCATCAATAGCTGAGTGATCCTTCCATGTTTTGCAGTTGTATAAATAAGTGGCTTATAGGTATTGATAGAATCCACCTTCAGTGAGATAGCTTTTGAGACCACAATCAACTTATCTTCAAGCTCACCTGCAATATAATTTGTCTCCTAATTCTTGGCTGCTTAATAGCATTTTAAGATATAGCATCTTCTATACTAAAAGTAACCTATAAATCATATCAAATGGCAATTTTAAAAAGTTGGGTCAAACGCATAAAAAAATTATTTTTATTCATTATATCGCCTATGAGATCTCTTGTGATTAATTGCTTCAACATATTTTTAGTTGCTAATTTCAAATTGCTTTCTATTAGATTCATGTAAACCAGAAAAATAATTTACAAATGTAAATGCTGGATTAAAATATGCATGAGATAGAACTTATGCAAGATTATGGAGCACTTGGGATTATTACTATACATAATTTCAGAAGATGCTTTATGTGTTTCTTTAGAAACAATGATAATATATGCATATTCATAAGTGAGAAGATGTGAATCCTAGGTATCTATGTTTTTATCTTCTACTCAATAAATTTCTTAAGATCATGTTGTCAACCACAATTGATCATCTGTTTGTGGGTGAAAAGTAAATGAAAACTTATTTTTTATGTAACAATAAACATAAGGTTTTTGAAAAATTAGATACGATCATACACTCTTGTTGAGCACATTAGTGAATGGTGGATTGTGTAACTTGGTAAATTACCTAGAGAATAGTTTTGCAATGTGAGATTCATCATTAGCCTTATGATAAGGAAGAAAAGGAGCCATTTTTAGAAAATTAATCAATCACCCTAAAAATGCTTCTATAGCCTCGAGTTGATATGGAAAATTCTATAATGAAATCCATGGATAAGTCCTCCCAAGGCCTATAGGAAACAGGAAGTGTTGTGTATTGGCCCAATCTTTGTTTGTTGAATTTGGTCTACCTGTTGTTTAGACATTGATAAAAAAATTTACTAACATTTATTTTGATTGATGGTCGATAAAAAATATATTTCCTTAAATGCCCTACAATACGACTAGAAAGTAATTCACCAATTAACAAATCTCTCAGACAAGTTCTAAGGAAATATCTACCGTTGGAAACATCTACCATCATAAAAATATCTATCAATGATAACAAAATCATTCAAAAACGAGAAAAATTTGTTCTTATGGTCTTTAAAAATAACATGAAAATCAAGATGCGACAATCATCTTTAAGTCTATCAAAGCCAGGGATTTAAAGTTTAAGTGTAGTGATCACAAGGGACGCTCTAGGTAAAAGCTTTTGTTGCTTTATTTTTCATAACAGCTTATGATTTAGGACAGCGGAATAATCTTGTAAAAATCCAACCCATTTGGCACGCGTTTGATTTAATTTGTTTGTGTTAGTTAATAAATTTTGATGTATGTTGATCATTATTTAAAATGGACTACCTAAGAAGCAGATAATATCTACAATGCCTTAAAGATTGAATAATAATATAAAATCTCAACTTGAAACACCACCCGAACACTTAAAAAATTGTAATAAGTGCCAAATCAGAAAAAATAAGTTTCTTTTTATTTAAATATAGAACTGTAAGTTATTGCTGAACACTTTAAAGCATCAGTATGTGTGCCTTCTTGTTATACTTAACCGAAAATAATTTTGAAGGTTTGCTTGCACGACAAAGGAGGGGTGAGCTGAAGCGGTTGAATGATCAGCTACGTCAGATCAATGCAGCACTTAGAAGACAAGCCAAAATAGAATCTTATGCTCCTAAGCTGAGCTATGCACCAGTTGGCAGGATAGCTGAATCAGAAGTTGTTGTTGACCCTAAAAAAGAAGATTTAATTAAAAAATTGAGATTAGGGAAAAATTATTTGCGGAATCATGAGCTTGAGAGGGCATTTCTGGAGTTTAAGACTGCTCTAGAGCTTTCAGAGGCATTGGGGGATCATGTTGAAGAGAAGAAGGCTGCAAGAGGTCTTGGTATGGTTTCTGTTTCCCATTCATTGCTCTTCTTCTTTTGACAATGTCATCTATCATCTATTCACCAGAGCTAAATTTCATTTCCCTTCCAAGTTTTGAATTGTTCCACATCTATAAACATCATGGGATTTTTCATGAGGACAAGCATTACATGATTGACAATTTTATGGGAAAATTTACATACATACCACATTTTTTTTGTATTTACACATCTAACATATAAACTTTCATTTTTGTATTTATAGCATTTTACATGTGCTTTGAAAAGGTGCATTTCACTTTCTAAAGTTAATAATAGCGATATTTTGATGTGATAAAAAAGATTTGAGTGTTTGTCAGGACCCGACCTAAGAGTTAGATTATCGAGGCGAGAACTGACTGTCAGAAAGAGGAAAACTATCTAACAATTTAATTTCATAGATAAAATGATTCAAAACATAAAATAGCCATTCTATGTCATAAAACTTTAATTTACAATAATTTATTCATACTTAAATTTTTACATATGAAAAAACAAAAAAATTGAAGTGTAATACCTATCAATCTGAGGTCCTTAGTGTTTGTATATGTACTCTCGTTTTTCTATAAAATATCAACAACTGAAGGTGTGAGTTATACTACTCGGTGGAAAAAATATTTTTAAATTACAATAAATTTTATTTTAAAATATTTTGTAAAAGTTACAGTAATCAGTAAAATATTGTGAACAGTGAAAAGAGAACAATAAAACAACAGTTTGTGCTTATTTTTATTTATCTTTGTTACAATATCCATTAAAGGTTGTTATTGTTTAAAAATATACTATAAGTTTTCATAATACTATAAGTATTCATTTAACTCTTTCTAATCCACCAAACAGGTAGGTAACCATTTCATTTCTATTTTTGAGATTTTTTATATTGCTTTAAACTGTCTTTCAGTGAAATTTTCTTATTCTTTCACAAAAGATTTTGTGTGGAAAGTCCCCTTGAGGGCAAGCGACAGATAAGTTATTCATCAATACCCCTGAAGGTCGAGTCCAAGAGGGAAGACTCGATGAGAAGATATCATACCTTTGAAAGTTGAGCCCAAGAGGCAGGTCTCGATGGAAGATATGATACCTCTGAAAGTCGATGCTAAGAAGCAAGACTCGATGGGAATATATCATACCCCTAAAAGTTGAGCTCAGGTTGTAAGAATCGATGAGAAGCAACGATACTCCTAGAAGACATGCCCAGGAGGTAAGTCTCGATTGGAAGCTACCGTACCTATGGAAGTTGAGCCCAAGAGACAAGACTCGATACGAAGATACCATACCCTTGGAAGTGGAGCCTAGAAGACAAACTTGATGGGAAGCTACAGTGCTCCTAGAAGACAAGCCCGGGAGGAAAGTTTTGATAGAAAACAACCGTGCCCTTGAAAGTCGAGCCCAAGAGGCAATTCTCGATGGGAAGATACGATACCCCTGAAAGTCAAGACCAAGTGGCAAGACTCGATGAGAAGATACGATACCCTGGAAGTCTTGCCAAGAGACAAGGCTCAATGGAAAGCAAATATGTTCATTGAAGACAAGCTTGGAAGGCAAGTCTCGATGAGAAACTACCGTGTCCCTAGAAGTCGAGCTCAGGAGGTAAAACTCTATTGGAAGATACGGTACTGTGGAAGTCGAGCCCAAGAGGTAAGATTCGATGAGAAGCTGCATCTGGAAGATACGGTACCACTGGAAGACAATCTCAAGAGGCAAGTCTCGATGGGAAGCTAGTAGTGGATATGATCCTAATTAGAAAGACTCCACAAGAGCAAGTGGTTGACAGAGTCTCTAATCAAAGAACTCAGAAGGATAAAAGTCTCAAAAGTTATAGATACATCTAAGAACTCAGAAGGCACAGGTGCATCTAAGAACTCATAAGGCCACAAGTCTGAGAAGGTACAGATACATCGAAGTCCATAGAATACACATGTACATCAAAACCATCAGAAGGCTACGAGTTTCAGAAGATATCAACGCATTTCAAACTCCTAGAAGACATAAGTCTCAAAAAATACAAGCCTAAAAAAATACAAGCCTATGAGGGCACAAACCTCAAAATTCACGGGCCTCAAAAGTTACACAATTCTTTTTTTATATAATGTGCATGTGCTTACTTTGATTACTGACTTTCGCATGCTTGAGAAGCCAAAGAGCCTCAAAAGGCAGAAGTTTAGAGGTTGACAACAATATGCACCTTTGAAATTGGAGAACGACAACCCATATGTTGGGGCGACATAATCCCAAAAATTGAGTAACCACAACTCAGAAGGAAATGCAAAAGAAACGTCAAAGAAGTTCAAAGCACTATACTATCATCATCTACAAACATCTCATTAAAAGTCATAAAGACCAACAAACACTGGTGATGCAACACATCATCAAAATGAAGCCAAAGGTTCACTTACAAGAGCCCAAGCATGAGGTCAAGTGCCTAATTAAGAGCACATTCAAGGCCCATCACAATAGCCATATCAAGAATAAATATTTGAATTTGTATTTTATCATTTAAATTTTAATTTTAGTTTCTAGATGTTTGAATTTTCAAATTTTGAGGCTTTAATGGCCGCACAAAAAAAAAAAAAAAAATTAGGAAGGTTGCTGGCATAGCATTTTTCTTCATTAATAGCCACCTACCACCCTTCAAAAGTACTTCCCCCTTTTATTGAAATTTTATCATTTTAATCTTTATAAATAGGGTTGATATATAATTATTTGGATCAGTTGTTGAATGAAATATTTGAGTGAGAACTCTCTCTTGTTGCTTGGTGCTTTGTGGCTTCAAGTGTTCTATTTTCTTTGGTGAGCTTAGGTATTTATCTTTGCTTTTCTTTTATGTTATTCATTAATCCTCAATTAAACTTACTCTTAAACTCTTCACCACCCTTCATCCACATCCTAAGTTTCTTATAATATCAACAAACCAATAACCAAACCACCCTCACAACCATTCCAAACTCCTCTTCATAGTTCTTGACCAATCAAGAGCATATTAAGATACAGCCTTATCCCTTAACTCTAGACACCATTATAAACCCATCCAAACCCACCCATCTACTCCAGATCATAAGTAGACATCCTAAGTTAACCATCAATAATAATTTCTAGCCACTTACCCACTTTTCCAAAGAGATATTTCGAATAAGCTCAAACCAGCGTTATCCATACTAGCAATGGTATTTTAGCCGTCATTCCCTCTTAAATCTTTTAACATTATACCAAAACCTCCACATCACATTTTTAGACTTAAAATCAATCAATAACAAATTTTAGTGCTTTATCTTATCAAAAGGCCATGCACCTCTATCATATTTGGTATCAAAACGAATCTGGGAAGGAGCTGATTTGGTTAGAGCTTCTGGACATCGAAGAAGAAATTCTTTGTGGTGGACTTGTCTCTACAAGCTTATGAGTTACTTCAAGAGAAGGTAGAGCTTAGTGAATTTCTTCTAATGATAGATTTATTTTCTTTTAATAGCTCGGACATCTAGTATATTTCTTGCAAAACTATGGTGTAAGCACGAAGTCTAATTAGTGAACTCCACTATAAAGCCTGACTTACATCCCTTGTGTGAACCTATCCCTAAACTTTTTTTTCTTGGTTGAAAACTTTGTTAAGGGAGTGCTCCACTTAAAGGAAATACAACCTTACCATGATGCGATCAAAATATTAAGTTTTCTGCTTTACTTTTTGTTTTAACTTTTTATGATAAAGTAGTTGCTCATTATATTTGAAGAACTTTGCCATGTCAAGGACTTGAGGTTTTAGATTCAACACAAATTGCATTTAAAATTTCTTTTACGAGAGTTTGTGTATAAAAGGTAATGTATTTGAGGCTAAAAAGGATTTTGTCAAAAATGTATAAACTACCTGATGAGAGCTTGGGACGTAAGTGGTATTTGTACCCCCCTTATCACCTGAAAGTTCTTGTAGATGAAGATTCACTTTATTTTGCATATATATTTTATTTTTGCTCTCTCTCATCTATAGTCTTTTCCCTTTCATCTCTCTTCACAAGAAAAAAAAAAGCATCATGGCATCGAAATTAGTTTCTTAAGATCAAATTAAAAATTTAATTCAAATGGTTGATTCGTTAGATCTCAGGATTCATGAAAGTGATACTAAGAATAGAGAATTATTTGAAAGGACTAACAATTAAATGCAAGATTTAAAAGATCAGATGCAAATAGTCCTAAGTCTTCTTCAAAATACTAAACCCCTTGCTACACCGTCTGCCCAAATTCATTTTACACCGTTAAAAGAAAATGATTCATACTTAGAGCTAAGAGACGACCAAATTCATAGAAGGCAACTTATTCTTAGGAATGGAGGTAGAAGCTATCATCTTTATGGAATAATGATGACTTTAATGACCTCTCTAGGATAATTAAAGTTGAAGCACCATCCTATGATGGAACCCATGATCCTAATAAGTTCTTAGATTGGTTAATCCAAATGGATGATCTTTTTGGTTGACATAATGATTATAAAAAAGTTGCGTTTGTCAAAATGAGTTTGACTGGTCATACCAAAAGTTTGTGGAATAATACATTAGATAAGGAGTGGAGGTTAAGAAGGAACACTCTCACTTTGATTTAAATGAAGGAGATGTTAAGAACTAAATATTGTCCTAAACATCATGATAAAAAATTATATGGGCAATTATTGACTTTAAGACAAGGTAGTTTTCCTGTGTCTGAATACTTGAACACATTTGAAGACCTGATTGTCAGGATTGACTACATTGACAATGATTGACAATTGGCTAATAAATTTGTCATTGGTCTTAAGGTGGACATTAAAAATGAAGTTGATTTATTTGACACCTATACCCTAGAAGAGGCCTTCCATTATGCTTTGTTAGTAGAAAATAGAAGGAAATCCACCTCTCTTTAAAAATTAAAAGGAAAAAACCCAAACTTCTTTACATAAACCTATTGTTAGATCCACTCATCATAGTAGTCAAACCTAACATCCTAAAACTCTTATTGA